ATAAGTGAGCACATATTTTGATTACCAATATGCAAAGATCAATGACTCCAACTGTTTCTCTAAATAGATAAATTCAGTGAAGTGAATGGTTCAATAAAAGCCAAAAGTGATGATAGAAACAGTATTAGTGAAAGGGCAGGAAAACGAAAAAAATTGTGGCAACTGCATTACAGCAGTCAGACAAAACAACAAAGTGAACTAAGACAACCTATATCAGATTAATATTAGTTCCTTTTTATTAAATATATATATATATTTCACACTTGTCTGAGGACAAACTGTGTGCCAAACAAATCATGGTACAATAATCTTTATAAAAAGAAAAATGTTCCGTGATTGGCTTGTGGGCTGAGTACTGCCAGGTTGCCCAGGCCAAGGNGAGCCGGTGACCGCTGCCACAACCGAAAAGGTGTGGGTGTGGTTCGTACGTCTCCTCATGGTTGGTTTGGAATCAGGGTTTTTGGCCAACTCCCCTAGGTGAACTACCAGTGGTCCACCAACCCGGCTATAGCCCCGGATATCTGCTTTTCGTCCTCTCACTTTGGTGGGAAAACACCTCCGCCGCGAGAAGGTAGTGAGTAGGGCTTCCTCAGCAGAGGCTATTTGAGACGCTTGGTCGTATGGGAGCATTTCGTGAGGTGCAAGGGCAGGGTGACCAGCCGCAACCCTAGACACCCACCCCCAACCATACTGAGGCCTTGGGAGGCACATATGTATGACAAATTTCCAGGAAGTCAACAACCAAAAGGCTGTCATAAGATACAATGAAAGGAACAAATTGGACAGCGACCCCCTAGGCGATAGAATGACGACCCGACCCGCATGACAAAGTTGTAAATCTGAAGATTCTCAGTTAGGTTCATGGCTTCAAACTGTTAATAGTGTCCAGTGGGATAAAAAGAGCTGTACGGTTTTCTGTCACTCATACCGGACTTAATCTGTACGGCTCATGATCAGTTCAATTCCGTTTCTCTTCAGGGACAGATTAGAGAATATTTATGCATCCATATGAACAATGCCAAGATAGATTTTTATCTAGCTCCAAATTCATCAATTCCGATAAAAGGAACCGTTCATTTGGTCCTAGCTGCACGGGACAAGGCTAAAAGCCGTTTTCTAAGCCTCTGGACTTACAAGATGCCGCGTATGTATTACTGTACCCACCAACCAAGACCATAACAAAGCCATTAGTCAATCATATCTAGTATGACACTGAAGATTTTATTTAGCACGTGCAAGGTTCGTTAAAATTGACACAGGGAGAAACACATCCACAACTGAGAAAACTAACCATGGTATTTGAAATAATGGATGTGACGGGCAGAAAATGTTGAGCGAAATGCTGCCGTGGCTTTCTTCCTCCAAGATACAATCCCTCACAACGGACGAAGTTCGCGACAACAGAAACCATCAAGGGAGTGAGATAGATGAGGGAAGATGATAAGAAACCTGAGGCAAGTTAAGGTGGATCGATGTGAATGGGACCCTGATAATTTGGCAGTATGAAATGATTGATGATGCGAAAAACCGGTTTCTAAGTCAACAAATTTAATCAATAATCTTGTGTCTATTCCTGAGGTGAGGTTGGTAGGGTGACTAATGTGCGGCATGCACGCCTTCGCCTTTTGAGACGAGATCCACCGTTCAGGAAGCAGATGAAGATAATGGCCGTGCTAATCGCAGCTGTTGTTTACGTGAAAAAGAATTACTGACGCGGGACATTCAATTGGGACACACGTGCAACTAATGACTGGGACGTTAATGATTCCGATAATTATGATGATAAGGGCAACCAGTACGCAAACAGTTCCGAAATGATGATGATGATGATTTCGATAGGCATGAGGTAGATGAGTGCACGAGACTTCGATAATCATCACGCATAAGACAGAGTGAAAATTGCTGGAAATGGAAATTACGGTCGGAATTGTTTTGCATGCACCACATACTTTACTCTCGTCAGGGTAACAAAATCCCATCACATGGGTGAAGAGGAATTAGGCAGAGAAGAAGGGTCTAATCTATCGAACTAATTTCAGAAGGATTTAGTAATCGGTTGGTCAGACTGTGAAGGTGATGCCAGCGAATCAACAACAATGCCGCTCATGTCGATATCTTCTATGCAATCAGACCGCCTAAAGAAATGTGCATATTCAGTTGCACAGTGTACTCTGCTTTGAAAATATTTGATTACTTCATTTTCTTCACGCGACATTACACACTCGCATTTGTCTTGTGCACATTGGGAGTGTGCCTACGATAACCGAAGTTCGCATCGTTGGACGACTATGATGGCAATGATAAGGATCAGTGTTTGGTTAGAAGACGAAGTGTGTGGCGGCGATGTACCGAGTGAGTGTAATGTACTGAATTTCGACAATCAGTGTGCAAAATCGTTGCAATGAAGCTAAAAATTTATTCAAGTGGTTTGTCTCTCTGAATCCAACAACGAGCTGGAACTGATTATCATTTCAGTACTACTTATGTGCACTGTCTCCAAATAAAGTCTGGTGAAATCGCGATGAACAATGATGAAATTTTTCAAGACGCACCGGAATAAAAAAACAGCATGTACAATGCGCAGGGACTCAGTTGAATTCTGACGATGAAACGGAGCGCTCGAAGTTAAATATACTGCACAAAGGACAGTGGTTGACACAGTGTATTCCTGTATCTTAGCTATACACAGACAGGTTGCAGCTGGATGTGCAACCCCGAACAACAAATTCGAACGATGTTGGGGAAACCGCACGATCCAAGATAACTAGGGATCATTGTGGTTCATGGAGCTCATTTGTCTTTCAACAGGAGATAGCCGCGAAAAGTTCCGCAACCCAGTGATAAGAACACTAAACGGAAAACCCGATAATGGCGCATCCAGATGTGTAGGTAAGCTAATTTGGGTCCTAAACAACAGAATCAGAAAAGCATAAGGACATTCCGTTAAAAATATTATTTCTATGCACTGTACAGGAAGTAAATACAAAAAATAAGATAAAAGGAAAAACAACCGATGACACTCATCGGAAAGTCAGAATTGTTTACGAACACAAGTACAGAAATTGAACCACATCTGCCCGTGGAAAAAATAATTGCCCAAAGGATGAGAGCAGAAGCGAATGCATCAGAAACACAGTGATCGAATGAATCCAACTGGCTACAAACATACAGTACAGACTTCAACACAAATCCCGCAGGAGGGGCGGGGATGGGAGGAGTAGAAGAAAATAACATGTTACAGGAGAGAAATTCCACACGAACAGTTTGGGGGGGGGGGTTNGGGGGTGGGGTGGGTAAGGGGGTAATGATCGGAACATAATGAAGCAGACAAGTCTGAGACTTGCGGCAAAGGGATGGAGTGGTAGGGGTCAAGCATAGTTTTAATTTGATAGCCAAGTGATTGCTTTCGAAGTTGTGTGAAAAAGAGGACGTACGCGCAGATATGATAAATGCGCAGTTGGTCTTTTTCGTACAACACTGAAATGACCCAAAACAAGATGATCAGCTCGACGTTATACAGGGTCAATGAGATCTGATTGATTTGAAACGGTAACGGAGCCGGTGCGCGAAACCAATCGTGCTGGATCACGGCGCTTGCGACGATTGGCTTGAGCACCAGCTGCACCCATGGATGTGCACGCATCAAAATGAAGGTCGTAAGTGCGTTTTTGATCGCCCACATTGCTGAAGTATTCGCTACATTCCAGTGCCGGCAATTCCCGATGGGTCACATCGGATACCAAATCGTGGATAATATCTGAGGTGGACTTATCTATCTTAGTCAACATGGGTCCGGAAGACTGGCGACTACGCATACGACGATTGTGAAACCAGTTGACTACCTGTATTTGTTGTGAACAGTTGGAACAAAAAAAGACGATTCACAATGAATTCCGAAAACAACGACGAAGTGAAAAGCCGAAGTGGATTTAATTCCATAACAAAAGTGAATCGCTTTTAGTTCGCATTAAATAATATCGGCTTGATTCAATGCACACCTCGATTAGTCATCAACAAACAATGTGGCATAAGAAACTTACAAACAAAGCTTAAAGGATCCTTTGCATCGAGAAACCAGTACATAAACCAAGAACCTTGGTTGTCGTGCAAACAAGAAGGTCCGATACATCGAAGGCACTCGGAGCGGGTGAGCGGCCATGTGCATCAGAATTAAAAACCAGCAAGGTATCATAATCCGTACAAGACGGATTCCGTGCAGGATGAACGGAATGGAATGATTTCAAACGAATTTCTCGATTCAGACCAGCAACAATGAGCAATAGATTACAGGTCTGATCAAAACTGACGCCACGGGTCCCTGTGAAACACTTGTGGGTTCGTATAAGCAACAACATTTATATTGAAGTAATTTTTTCCAACTTACAACAACCAAGCCTTGGTGAACCTTTATAGCAGTGATTTTCCTGATTTGTTTCTATTCAACAGATGTAATGGTTCAGAATGTAGCGGATACTCCCATTTCGTCAGTAGTGGTTGACCTAGACCATGATGACTTAAGAGCTAAAGGGAATAAAACAACCTTTATTTACAACAAACTAACATTGATAATAATTAAGATGTGAAGTTTGTGTACACTAATAATCGATTGGTCTGCCTTTGTTCGTTAGGACTTTTTGGAGTCTCTTCGGCATCAAATCCATCAACTTTGTTATTAGGTCATTTTCTATTTTGTGCTTCATTACGTATCGTACTTTTGCCTCCAATGTACAACGTACATGTAGCACATTAACCTCTCTCTTCAAAACAGAAAACAGATTTTCAATCACATTGAAATCCGGGCTATTAGGGGGAAGTTGCATGAACTGGACCTTAGAGTAATGCATCCTTTCTGAAGTCTAAAAGCAAATGATAAGTGAACCAGACCCCTTAACTAAATTTACTAACCACTCGTGAAACATGACACGGAGCGTCATTCTGAAAAGGATAACTTTTCCATAAATGAAATTCTGGAAACATTTTGGTCATTACTGATACGAATTTCCCACTATTCATGGTGCCTTTGACTGATGTTTACCGACAAGGCTGACCATGTTTTAACCCTGCCCAGATCAGTAATCTCGACGGATGAGAATCTCTCTCATTTGGTGGAAATTCTCACCCCAAATGGCTCGTCGCACACCATGAACTCATCGGCGAAATAAACCGATCGCCAAAATGACGCACATCAAGATTTGAATTCTCGGGCAGAATCAATACGGGCCTGCCTTTGCGACGCGTTCAATGCTGGCTTTACGTCAGCTGAAACCTGACGCGTTTTCATTTTTTTTTATTCTTCTTTGCGGAGGGGAGTACGGATGGTGGGGAAGGTCTGCACTGTTTTTTAGAGTAATACGAATTAGGTCGTCCTCCTGATTGGATGTACTCGGTTTACGGCCTGTGCTCTTGCAAGCCTATTTTTCTCTTCTTAAGGGCCACAAAGAGAACTTTTGGTTTCGAGCGCTGCTTGTTTCATTATGGTGATAAGAATACGAACGTTAAAAAACTGCGCACAAAAATGACCTTGATTTTAAGGTTGACTTTGATGAAAATGGTATTTATCGAATTCAGTGAGTTAGCTATCAAAGATAGTTGATTATTATGATGAAGCCTTATTTAATGCAATTTCTCCGGGTTGTGAAGGTATGTCATTTAGTTATCCGATAGAGTTATATTGGATTATATATTTGATAAAATAATAATAATAATAAAATAATGACAAATAACCGAGATGGCACGGGTTTATGGAAATAATTGGGGATAATTCTTGAGTCACTCCTATTAGAATACACTGCGTTTTCATACTTGATAACGTTTGCGAATTTCGGGTTGAGGTTAGTTAATCTTGGCAACCAAGGTTGGGCACGTTAACTTGACAATCATGCAGCCTAGAAACTACGTAAATCGAAGTAGACAAGAGGTAAATTATTGTCCATATCTAAAGTATCAGTACAGGTGATAAATATAATGAAACTCTATTTGATCGGAAAGAAAATATTTTAGTGCATCACAATCGGCCAGTACCACATTCAGCATTATCAAACTGTCTTACTGGTTTGTAAGGTAAATTCAACTGCTGAGCCAGTGCACGTAAACTGTTCGAAGTCGGATAGGGCTGACGTGTGAATTCAATCAACAAGGTTTCTTTTTGAGCTGGAGTAAAAACCACACGATTTCGTCCAGCTGATTGTTTCGTCGAGGTATCTGTACCAATCGCATCACGTTCATTGTCAGATCCGTTTGTGCCATTTTCCAACGGTGGAGCTAGCCAGCCAGTACTAGGAATTGTCAGAGTCGGCTCAGATCCTGTATGAGTTACGACACCGGAGGCATCGGGAGGTGCAGTTTTCCCGGTTGTGACAGGAATGGGACGAAGTGATTCGGACAAACTCGAATCCGTATGAGATAACGCACCGGGCTCCGTTGATTCCATTCTCCTTAATTTTAGTGGTGTACACTCGGAGGGTTCATTTTCAAGCGATTCATGCTCCACTTTAATCGGTGAGTTGGTGCACTTCATAACGGGCACATCTTCCTCCGAGTTGGCATCAACAGACCGTAGCTGTCCCCGGGCGCCACCTATAGGAGGCCGTGCACATATCAAAAAAGCATGAATTATGTAAATACATACCGGACAAAACTGACGAGAAAAATTTGAGCACTGCTGAGGAAAACCGACCATGGACAGGCAGTTGCCCCGCGCCCTTTATGCGAAAAGTACACCATAATCATTATCATTATTACTTTTATCATTATTTAATATAATATATATATATATATATCAAACATCTGGATACAGACACAAATCACAGTACAATAATCTTTAGAAAAAAAGAAAATAGTTCTACGATCAGGTGGAATATCGCCAGGTTGCCCCAGGTCAAAGTAGATGATTTTCTTGGGAGATTCACAAACAAAGCCTGAACCACAAGGCAACGAGAAGGTGTGTGAAAGCTGCGATTCATTAGGGGTCGATGTCTAGTTCATCGGATCATACACCCTTGAGACGAGGTCAAATTTATAAGCTGCCCAATAGAACTCGATACCTAATCGAGCCGGTAACCTCTGCTACAACGAGGAAGGTGGGTGTGCGCTGTTTGTATACCTCTTTCTGGTTAGTTTGTAATCAGCTTCTTTTAGCTAACTCCCCTAGATGAACTGCCGGTGGTTCACCGACCCGGTCATAGTCCCGGATGTTGGCTTTTCGCCATCTCACTTTGGTGGGAAAAACACTTCCGCCACGGGAAGGCAGTGAGTAGGGATTCTCAGCAGAGGTAATTTGAGGCGCCTGGTTGTATAGGAGCATTTCGGGAGGTGCAAGCAAAGAGTGACTAGCCACCGCCCCAGAGACCCACTCCGACCACACTGCGGCTGTCGGCTCTATTTCACAACACTGTGAGGTGAACAATGGTAGGAGTATACCCTATAGTCTAGACTAACTGATGTTCGACAGCGGATACCATGAATTTCTATTCAGGGAACTCCAGGAACTCCAGCAGACCGTAAAAACAAATGTGATTTTCATCCTGTTTGGTAGTAATGAAGACCAGATAGATTAGTTTGGGTTTTTCCCGAACCCAGAGCAACCTATAAGAGGCAACAAGTATGATGATGCGAAATAGAAACGTATTGAGTAATACAACTGCACTGAACCATCAACAGTACCACATCGATTATGCCGTGATGGCGTGAAAGCTACTCGACATTCATCGGACGCAAGAGATTAGCTTTGGATGGAAGAAACGTACATTTGGTTGTGTTTCCGGTCGGGGCTACGCCACCACGCAGTGCGTCCATCCGGTCGGGTTGATTGAGCCAAATGTGCATACGCACATACGGCAGACGAGCCTTTTCCGTGAGCTGGGACCAGGCACGAGGCTTTGATAACATATCACTCACAGAGGCTTGACACATGCCTAGAATGACTTCGCCAAATAGACGTTGTGATACACCATTCTGACGGAGAACCTGAGAGTGGTAGGATAATATGGATAGACGGAAAACACGACGGAGATGAATGAACGAGGCGGTAGAAAAAAAAGAGGAGCGGGGGAAACGCTGAACGGGTATATTTGAGTTTGCACCGGTTAATCACAAAGAGAAGCAT